TAATTAAAGCATAGTGATTAATCACAAAACAATGCGTAATTATATATTATGAAATATTTATGTGTTTTCAAATGGTCTTAGGTGACCCCTGTGAGAGGGTCGTTCGACCCCCAAAGGGGTCTCAACTCACAGGCTGAGAGCTGCTGCCGTAAGAGAAGGTGGCTTCAGCTGTTACCTGCTGGTATTGTGGATGGTTACCTGACGTGGATACTAGAGGCCATTTTTCTCAAGAGTGGAGCAATTTGGATGGAAGAAGGCATTGAAAGTCCTGTCTTGGGGGCTTTTCCTGCCTGGTCTAACCTCTCAGGCTGCCCTAAAGTCCTTCCCACTTAGCTGCCAATTGTGGAACCATCTGGGGCAGGCCAGTCCAGAGCAACTGCCCTCTGGTGACCCTCGCCTGCTGCTGCTACCTTTCTGTCCCTAGGAGTACATGCAGTGTGTGACCGCCGTGGATGGGGAGTGGCTGGCGGAGCTGGGCCCAATGTTCTACAGTGTGAAGCAGGCTGGGAAGTCACGGCAGGTGAGGATCCTGCAGTCACCCCCGCTCTGTCTTTCCCTCCTCTTCTGAGTCTCCTCCCTGCAGCCTGCCCTCACCCCCGTGTTACTCTAGAGTGTATGGTCTCATGTCACTACCTGCCAATACTGACATGTGTCTTTACTTATTTGTGTTTTGGAGCAACCTCTCATTTTATTTTTTTCCAACAGTTTTATGGGTACATAATTTGCATATCGTACAGTTCAGTAGATCAATCATTCTGCCATAACAAGGAGAACTGTGCAATCATGAACACATCAATTTTTGAGCATTCCCCTCCCATGGCTAAATCGGCTGTAAAATGAGTTGTGCAATCACAGTTTGTTCTAGAGCTCCCTCCTCCCTCCCACCTTCATATTTACTTCTGAAATCCCCTTTCCCTCCTTATCACCCAGCCCCCACTCCTGGTTTTCCTATATTCCCTTGTGTCAGTTATTCTCATTTTGCATCCACTCCTCACAGCTGGGAGACCCAACAGAAAACAATAAAAAACAAAAGTCACGCTAAGGTGGTAAGGATAAAATCATCAGAGTATAAAGACAAAAGTACAAATAATGTGTAAGAAGGAAAAGACCCTCAGCAACCTTCATAAAGCCAGGGAAGAAATTCCTGCCACGGAACAAATAGGAGATCCGGGCACCCAGCAAGTGTGTCTTTAAATGTAGCCTCCAGGCCACTATCACCCCTTACAGTCACTGCACTATCACCTGTGTCTTCAGTCCTTGGTCAGGTTTCCCCATTCACGGCAAAGACAGCTTTTTAGGATTGGCTTGAGTTAGTATCCAAACACTGCATTAGGTTATTATGCACTTGAAATCTTTTATTTCCAAAACAGTATCTTTCCCTACCCTTTTAAAATGACATCTATTTATTGGAAAATGAGGTCACTTGTGCCATCGAGAAACAAATCCACACTCACTGCCGTGGCGT